TCCTGAAAGCTTCAGGAGAATGCAGCAGGATAGATTCACTTGTCAGTAATGTCCATACTGATTAATATAAATGCACATGGCAGCCAATATCAGAGTGTGCTATGTGGATTTATTTACATAATTATTTGAGAATTCACCCTCCCCTCCTTGACTTTGATGCTTGGTACATATTTATTTACACAACACTGCACTGCCAAACAAGCCAAATGTTTCCCAGAAAGACATCAGAAGAATTGCAATTGTTTGAGCAGTGGTTATTTCAGGATGATAAAAGACAAACTCAACTCAAATCCATTTAGCAACTGAAGTGCTTTCCCCAGATGACAAACAATGCTGCTGCTGTCCTTGCATGGTCACTGACCTTGAGTGGCTCTGAAGGCACCAAGGCAGCTGAGGAAGGAGCTGCTGTAGGTGCAGCTCAGGCAGAAAACAACTGTGCTGTTCAGCAAGGTGAGGACAAAGCCCCAGTGCCCAAAGGTGGTTTGGACAGGGAGGGAATTTTGGGATGTTCCATCGAATCACAGGGAATAGAGAGACAAGAGCTGAGCAGTTTGTATGAACCTGTGTCTTTACCACAGGTAATCTGCACATCTCCTGGACCCTGCCAGCTGATTTAGAGACTAATTTCCATCAGTTTCCAGATAGACAGTGGCAGAAATAGATACAGACAGAGATAATACTTCACCAGCTACCAGTGGGCTCCCATTACACAGCAGAATTCACTGCTTATCTCTGGTTCTTGACACCTTATCACATCAGACCCGGCTGATAAGGGGGCATGCTGTCAAATGCCCTTTCTGCACCCTCATCACTGACAGGGTGGCAGAAACCCACTCGGATGGGCACAGCCCCACATTTACAGCACACATCAAGCCTAAAGCTTTACCCCACCCTTACCCCCAAAAAATCCAGCTAAGCTTGCAGGGCTTAGTCCTAAGCAGTGTGAACACAACCCTGGTGCATTCCTGTCATGACACTGAGAGGTACACCCAGTCAGCACTCACTTGATATTCCATTATTTTTATAATGTGTCTCACTCATTTACTGAAATTAGAAAAAAGCCCCCCCAAAAACAACAAAACAAAACATCAAATCTCAGAAGTCAAATCAAACATAGGGAAAAAAAGTTAAGTAATCTTTACAGAACTTCCCAAGGTATCAGTTGGGGTTTTTTGGCAGGGAGGCTCTGTTTTACATTCATCTGGACACAATATGTTTTTTTTCCAGATCCTAACAGATCACTAGAGTTACTCAGCACACAAACAATGCCTGTTGTTTTGGAGCTGATTTCTCAACCTATTATGTGTATTCCTGTTTACAAACAGTGGCTGAAGCATGCAGAAAATCTGCAGGCAACTTCACTGCACCCACTTAACTCTTCTGCCTGCATTTGGGCAAGCCTCAAGTAATTTTCCATGGTCACAGTGATCAGAATCCCAGGATGGGTCAGTGTGGAAGGCACCATAATGGATCATCTGGTCCAAGCTCCCCACTCAGGCAGGGTCATCCCAGAGCACAGGGTTGAGTCCAGCTGGTTCTGGAATATCTCCAGTGAGGGCAACTCCACACCCTGTCTGGGCAGCCTATCCAGGGCCTGGGCACTGCACAGGGAAGAAGTTCTGCCTCTTGTTCAGGTGGAACTTCCTGGGCATCAGTTCCTGCCCATTATCTCTTGTCCTACTGAACAGAGCTCGGTCAAGCCTGTGACACCCTCAAAAAACCAAACACTGGGCCCACAAACCTCAAACGGTGGAAGGAGCTATGAGGAGTAAAAGAAGAAAAGAAACATTGCAAAGCTTTTAATAATTATAACAATTGTCATAATTACACGAGATGGTGGCTTCAAACACATCAGGCAATTTATATTGTGGAGCATTGTGAGCTTCTGGGGGGAAAAGACAACCAAAACTTCAAGACATCCAACCTAGAGCTGGAGACAAACAGGGAACAAAGCTACATCCATTTGCTGGAAGTTTTGGATCGTTCAGGATTGCAGGCCCAGAGTTCCATCCTCGGCTCAAATGAGAACAGAAGTGCTCAAAAGCCGAGTGTGAAAAATCAGCCAGAATCATGAAGTTTTGCCTGGCTCAGGAGAGGGATCAGATTCACGTAAAATTATAGTTCAAATTGGTTTCCACCCAACATCATAAATCCACCTAGGTTTGCCAATAGGATTCGGACTGTCAGCAAATCCTTTCTTTTGGCAACGCTGGATAATTTCAAGAGCTTCAGAGGAAAACTCTGAGGGTTTGCCTGAGCCATTGGTCTTTGAGGGAGAAAAGGGGAGAGGACCAAGGACATCCCTGAGGACAAACACCCCAATAGGCTCCCCACACTGTTCCTAGAGTTTCTGGGGCATCTTTGCTCCTGGGCAGCTGCCAGAGAGGACATCTGGGGACCAAATCCCTGCGACATCAATCCTGAGCTTCTCCTATCTCTGCTTCACCACTGGCATCTCCCCTTAGGAGGCTGTACAGGTAAATCAACACTTGACTCCAAGGGGAATTAGAAAGCCACATTTTTAACCTCTCTGAGGTCCTGTGGGTATAAATTATTTAGGTTGGAAAAGACCTTCAAGATCATCAAGTCCAATGGTGAATCATTGGATTCACCATTGTAGTGTTGTAATTGATTAGTGTTGTAATCATCACTAAATGGTGTCCCCAGGGGCCACATCCTCACAGTTTTTGGACCTTTCCTGGGACAGCCACTCCCCTGTTGCCCTGACCAGCCTGTTCCAGTGCCATTCATGGAAGTGGTGGAGTAAAATCCCATCTCTTATATTCCACCAAGAGACTTTCATCCTCAGAAAAATACATCCAGTGCAATCATTCCAACACAGACCTGATGCATTTGGCTGGTGACACAGGCCAGCCCTCAGCAAGGGAAATACAGATTGGGCCAGTGGGGAGAAACTGGGGTTTTGAAATGAAGGGATGATTAAACAAGATAAAAAAATCACTTCTCAGAGCTGCAGGGATTTACTATTTTGCCTGTAGCTTTGGAGGCTCAGGGAAGAAGCATTCACAGTAGTATTCTCTCCTGATAAGTGCAAAGGGCCCTCTCATATTTCTCCTCCTTTCTGCAGTTTAATACACGGGGGCTGAGGCTGTGACCATGACCTCAGCTGTCTTACAATGCTCCCCCTCCCTGGGGAAGCCCCACACTTATCCTTTAACCAAGAATTAAGTCTGCATGCAGCTCTGTGCGCTCAGGAAAATCCCAGCACACATTTCTCCTCTTCCACCCAATGCAAAACGAGGATTGATTTTGCTCCAAGCAAGGAGGAGCATTTGGAATATAATGAGGCTGGAAAGGGTGGAGTGGGAGTACAAAGAGATGAGTCCAAGCTCAGCATGACAAATGGTACACAGGACCACTTGGTTTTATTATACACTATCAAATATCCCTAATTTAAACAGCAGAGCTAATAAGCATGCCAATGTATATATTTACATTGCCTGAAATGTGCACAGCCCTGTACAAAAATTAGAGTGCAACTGTTATGATCAAGCCATTAGAGAAAACAAAATCAATCCAAAGCATAGGCCAGCCTTGCTAACGAGCTCCCTGCTTTGCTGCCTCCCCTTTCCTCAGAAACTTTGCAGCAGAGTGAAGATTTTCTGACCTCAGAATGAAGGAACTTGCACAGGAAAGCTGAAGAACTAATTGTAATGCTACTTCATCGAGCTAAAATGAAAATAAAACTGCAGTGCTGGAAATGCAGTCCATGAATCAGCATCAAGGACAAGAGGGAAGTTAATTCTCTTTGCCATTCTGTAGACAAAACTTTGTGGAGTATTTTGGGCAGTGGACACATCCTACCTGTCCCCTCTCTGTAAGCCAAAGTGATTTCTCTCTTTCTCTTAGATCCAGACAGAAAAGAGTTTCAGCATTTTGAAGATTCCCCCATCTCCATGCCCAAAAAAGTTGAAATTGCAGAAAGTTTCTACGGAAAAAAAGCTGATGAGGAAAGGGAGAAAATGCAGTTTGGCTAAAGTAGAATGCTCTCCTTTTAAAGTTTAAAGATATCCTGTTTTGCTTTAGATCACTTTTACTTCATGTCTCTTTCTCTATATTTAGCTTAATTTCAGCTATTATATAATTTAGAATTCTTTGTTGTTGGATAAAAGAATATCTATAAAAAAACCAGAGCCCTTCTCATGAGAAATTTGGAAAAATCCAGATTATTCCTGCCCATGAAGATATTAATATTTTTACTGAAAATTTTCCAAACCAGTCCTGCCTCTCTAGGCAGAGGGAGAGCTCTTCATAAGCTCAGTTTTGCAAGCCCACATGGCCTTTCAGTTCTTCAGGCTTTTATTTGCAGTCAGTTATTTAAACAGTGCAAACCTGTCAATAAAACCCTCTCCAAAGGGGCTGAGGGGCCTGAATGTTTTACGGGTTCACCTGCAGCTCTGGAGAGCGTGGGGAACTCCAGGCAACCAGGACTTGCCTGGATAATGCTCTGGAGAGTGAAACGTGTGAGGAGAGGCTGAGGGAGCTGGGAAGGGGCTCAGCCTGGAGAAAAGGGGGATCAGGGGGGACCTTGTGGCTCTGCACAGCTCCTGACAGGAGGGGACAGCCAGGGAACAGAGACAGGAGGAGAGAGAACAGCCTGAGGAGAGGCTCAGTATAGACATCAGCAGGAATTTCCCCATGAAAAAGGTGCCCAGGGATTGGAAGGGGCTGGATTCCCCATCCTAGGAGGTGTCCAAGGAATTTCTGGATATGGCACTGAGTGCCATCACAGAATATCCTGATCTGGAAGGGACCCACAAGGATGATGAAAGTCCAACTCCTGGCCCTACAGGGCACCCCCAGCAACCCCACTCTGTGCCTGAGGGCATCATGCTAACACTTGTTGTCTTGTATGTATATATTTATATCAAGAGATCTATTATCATTATAGTGCAAAAGTTCCATAGTGTCGCCTTATACGTTACAACAGTTCTCTTATCATTATAGTGCAAGGGTTCCATAGTGCCAGAGTTTCATACCTCCTCAATGTTTCTCATAGGCAGCTCATCTGAGCACTGCCTATTCTTGACCCTTACAGCAACCATCTAACTTCTCTCACTTCAGTTTCCACCAATCCACTCTTATATGCCACTTGTTCTTATTGGCTACAGGTGTGGCCTGTTAAGATCAGGCCTGCCCCTAATCTTTAGTAAAAGGGTGCAGCTGCACCTCCTTGGGGGATAAGATTACATTCTACATTACCCACACTGTGTCCCCCTACAAACACTTCTTGAGCTCTGCCAGGATGGTGCTGTGGTCCCATGGTCTGGTTGGCCAAAGGCTGGACTCAATCTTGGAGGTCTTTTCCAACCTGGATGAGTGTGTGATTCTCATTTCTCCTGATGCTGCCATGGGAGGCTGACAACCTGCCTTGCTCTAGGACATTGCCAGGCTGTCTCCTGACATGAAGATGTTGCAGCCTCCACACAACAGAGATCCCTCTGTGCCTGCCACAACACCCAGGGTTCAGCAACACCACACAAGGCGCAAATGGAGAGCAATGAGCAATTTTAAAGGTAACTGTCTCTTAGGCCAGCCAAGAAAACCTCCTCTGGATTTAGAAGATGGTTCAAATGAAGGAGCAAGTGCTTGACAAGGAAGCTGGAGACATGTCCCCGCCTGCTTACACCTTGAGCACTACCACTGAAGAGATTCTAGAGGGACTCCTGGTAGATAGACATGGGCATTCACCAATTTCCATCTCCTGAGGATCCACTTCTCTGCTATCATGTCAGCTGAGATATAAAGAAATCTAATGTAAAGAATACATTTCCATGGTATTTTTATCTTCAAGGACCCCTATGGAACATATTTAGCATTGTTCCATCAAAACATATTTTCCACAAAGGCCAAGTGCAGCAGCTTCTCAGGTACAACATGATGGGTCAAGTCCATCATCTCCACTGGAAACTGCACCAAGGAAAGATAGCAAAAACATAGTTTGTACCTTCTGGAACTCAGCAGGTACCCTGGGACTAAATCCTTGACATTTGGAAAGACCCCTCTGCAACCTAGAGGTCAAATTCTGATTTTACAGATTTCCAAGGTAACTGCCACCACCAGATCTATTGATGGAGCATCCAACCATGAAGGAAAATAGTTTTGCTGCTCAGTTACTCGTGTTCCCCTCATCCCATCCATAGCTCATGCTGCAAACATCTCCTGTCCCAGTCCTGCACTGGCCCTGGTTCAGGCTCATGTGCAAGCTAGGCAAAACAAAACACATTTTCTCCTGGCTCCAGCCATATGCCAGCAGATGTTTGAGCTGAGATTTTCAAGATGCATACAGACTTTTGGGTACGTAATCCCTCATGCTCCAAATCCCTTGCTTCCTAAAGCAAGCCTTTGAGCCCTGGAATCACACAGTGTCCACAAAGAGGCATCCAATGCATTTTAAGGACAAGGTGTTTTTATCTGAAGCACTAAATCATCTTTTCACAGCAGTAAATTACTGACACTGCTATTGAGCAGTTCCTGAAATGAAACAGAGTTCTGACCTCTACAACGTCTCCAGCAAACGTGAATTCAGGCCAACGAGGTCGACCAAGAATCACTTGAACCCTTTGCATTCTCCCAGCTCATCAGGAAACGCTGCTAAAAGAGCCCTACAACAAGCTAGTAACTGATAGAGGAATTCAGGGGAAAAGAGAATATCAGGTAATTTCATCTGATTCTTATCCTCAAGGAGTGCAACTCCCAGAACAGGCCCTTGGCTCTGAATTCAGAGGGGCAGTGCGAAGGGCTGCAGGGCTCCCAGAACCCTCAGAAGCATTTTCCATCAGTCACTTTAAAACGCTTCCACTGGTTACTTTTCTTTAACTTCCTGGGTCATTTCCATCTATTACCCGAATTGATCTAACTTGCTGTCATCCCTATTTTTGATATATCAATATAGAATCACAGAATCATGATGTTGGAAGAGACCTCTAAGATCATGAAGTCCAACCTATGCCCTAACACCTCAACCAGACTACAGCACCAAGTGCCATGTCCAGTCTTTTTTAAACACACACAGAGATTGATGATTCTACCACCTCCCTGGGAAGAGCATTCCAGTACTTTATTATTCTTTTGGTGAAAATATTCTTCCTAATATCCAACCTATACATAAAACCATAATATCAAAATCAAGCAAAAGTGTTTACTGTAACAATGAACAGCAGAAAAAAAAAGAGGTGGTGATCTTTACTTGACTCTTAGTGTTCCTATAGAAGAGTTTAAGGCCTATGTTTCTACAGATTGAAAAACATTCACTGCCTGCAAAGCCAATTGGAATTCTGTTTTCAGGAGATTCATAAACCTAAACAACGCTGGGCAATGTTTGACTCACATTTTTTGGCATTTCATATGGGTTTTTCATGGCATTAAAGGTGAGAAGTAAATTAGCCATTAAACCATGCATTCTGAGCAGATGTCATTTATCACTTCCACTAGATCTTGGCCACAAAGAATTTCTTGAGAGCTGGGTTAAGGCAGACAAAAAATGTCCTGATATAACCTTAGTGCAGAAATAATTTAGATAACTGCAGCAGGAGTAGCTTGAAAATTCAACTTTTTCAGAAATATCTGAAAGCCTGGCATTGCAAGGACCTTCCTGCAAGATATAGGGTTGAGATATTTCAAATATGATTTCCTAAATGATATTTTCACACCAATCTGAGTCCTACTGGTGATACATCTAACTCAAAAGAAGTGGCACTAATAGCCCACACTTTGATCCAGCTTCGCCCTTATTATGGCTTTTTATCTATAAAGTATTTATAGAGTTAAGTTCTAATAAATGTTTAATTACTGCTTAAAATTAAGCTAAACCAGCTATTTAACAGCTCTCAGCTGCTATTAATATTCATACCAGAGCTCTGTGATTAATGCATACAGGGTTTTTATGACCTTTAATTCAAATTCTGAATCACTGTTTGATTTGGCCATTGTTAACATACTTTTTGTTGGCTACTCACAGCTTGTTTTACAGTTTTGAAAGCATTTGAGAAACAGTGTTTCTCTGTGCAGAACAACTCAATTTAATTAGCCCTCTTTTAAGAATGTAGTCTGCTTAAAATTTGAAGTGTCTGAAAGGCAACAAGGGACAATGATTGTTATTGCACAACATTTCTTTCACCCCAGTCCTAGAAATCAATCTGATCAGGATTTTCACAATGCAAAGAGCTGTATAAATACATAATAAATGCAATCCCACCTTGCAAAGAACACATCTTCTGGAAAGAACACAAATACAGAACGTCTGCTGAGACAGCTCTGCCTTGGGCTGGGCTTGGCAGAGGCAAAGGACTGGTATTAAATGTGACTCCAAACAGAAATGGTGTCTTAGAACACACACTGGCTTATAAATATGCTAATACCTTAAATTGTGCTGCTATCAGAGCAGGGACTTGACGGTTTACAGAGAATAAATGGAACAAACTGCCTTTTCTGATGAAAGAAGAATGGCTGGGCCATCACCCCTGATTGTATTTAGGAGTGAGGAGTAACAGCAAAGAATACATTGGGCTAAGCCAGCACAGCATCTGCAGGATCAATATATTGAGTGCTGCATATTTCACACACAAATATACATATAAATCTGTAATTGTGCATAAATAATGGTCTCTTATAGATGCCTCTTTGGCCTCAAGAGGTCTAAGGCCCCTCTTCAAGGATCCACCAGTTTGTGAACAGGATTCCTGCTACCCCGGGGTCTGTTCCTGAGCAGAAAGGATCCCATCTGTGGAGCTCTGAGAGTCTGTGCTGTGGGACACCCATGGGATTGACTTCAAGATGAGCATTCTTGGAAAAATCAGCCTGCAAAAAAGGTGGGTTTGGAGTCACCTAACTATGGCCATCCAGAACGTGGAGGGAGCCTAAAAAAAAATGGAGAGGGGCCATTTAAAAGGGCCTGGAGTGACAGGACAAAGAATGGCTTTACAGAGGGCAGGGCTGGATGGGATATTGGGAATGAGGAATTGTTCCCTGTGAGGGTGGGCAGGCCCTGGCACAGGGTGCCCAGAGCAGCTGGGGCTGCCCCTGGATCCCTGGAAATGTCCAAGGCCAGGCTGGACAGGGCTTGGAACACCCTGGGATGGTGGAAGGTGTCCTTGACATGGCAGAGCCTTGGAATGAGGTGAGCTTTAAGGTCCCTTCTCACCCAAACCATGCTGTGAGACTCTGTGACTTTTGGAGGTTTGATCCTTGCCTCTCTATACTCCATTACAACCTGCAAGTTATGTAAGGAAATAAGTAAGTAATTCTTTCCAGATATTTTTTTTTTCCAAGAGAGAATGCAGATGTCAATATCTATACAAAAAATAAGTTATTGAAACACAAAGCAGTGCACTTGTAGGAACAGCGTAGGAGGAACTGTGAGAAACTATGTCACCACATTGCTCTCTGGTTTTGGGCAGTTCCAAGTTCCCCTCCCAATTTTTGTTTCAATTCTAAGCATTTTAAGACTCTCAGCATTAGATGAAAACAATACTCAGCATGCCAAAGGCCAGATTCCCATCTGGGACTCAATGATATTGTAATAATCATCTCAATACTGAGTGATATTATAACACAGAAACCCAGCACGATGGATCTTTTCCCATCCCTGGAGGTGCCCAGGCTTACAGATAAGAGAAACGTGGGAATTCAACTCTTCAAACTTCATGTGTCTCATTAAAGAAGTAATTTATAGTCTCTCATTAGAGAAAGTGATTTTGTTTTAAATTGTTGTGCATGAGAAAAAGCCAACAATGAGCGAGGGAATTACTGAAGGTTATGCTTGCTCCTTTATCCACCAACTCCGAGTGGGATTAAATTGCCTTGATACAGATTCAAATTTAATTTCAGAAGAATGCAGCATATTTCTCTGTGCAATACCAATCTGAAAAAAAATTTATAATAAGCAAAAAGGATATAAAAATATTATATCAGATACAAGTTGTCTCCACTTCAGCTGAATGACTTTATTGTTGGTCAAAAAAAGAAGTTGAGTTATTTCTCTGTACACTGAACTTCTGACTCTGATGCAAAGGGATGGAGCTCTGGGTGAGTCCATCTGCCTCCCTTCCTGGAAAAT